TGCTCCTCTGTCAGTCGTCAAGTCACTTCAGATATCTGGCTGCGTTCCACTCCTACGCGGAGAAAGAAACGTTCTTTTTATACTGCACATAAAGAACGTTTTAAAAGTTTCACGGAATTAAAGAAATCCAACGTTACCTTACGGGGGCTAGCACCCACGCACAAAAAATATCTCTCTCCTTACCACCGAATGCGCGAAAATGTTTATCGCTTCCAACGTTTCGGCAGGAGGGCCTGCCTTCGTCAGGGAATACACAGGGCACATGCAAAAATGAACTTCTCAAATACATGAGTACGGCGGGGGCCACCAACTCGTGCTTGACTATATACGTCATAGATATAGCACATATCATGTTACTATAAATATACATAGGCACTAATACGATATGGTCCCGACTTCATGAAAAAAAAATTGTGGGCAAGAAACAGATTTCAAGTACAAAGTTTGGGAAATGCGCACGTACAGGTAACCCTGTAGACATCATTGTGGAATTCAATAAAAAAGGAATTCAGCCAAGAAAAGTATCACACCTTCAGTGCGGTGAATATATGCAATGAGCAAGGTGCCCCAAGGCGCATCACAGTGGAGGTGTACAACAAATGAATTGAAAAAAAAAAAACGTTTCGAAAGGCTAACACAAACCAGTGTAAAATAAAAAAAAAACAAGTAGGTAAACAGCAACAGCGGTGAAAATGGGCAGTGAACGTGTATTACAAATAAAGTTTGCCGCCGGTAAAAAGGGTGAACTAACAATAAAACGAAAGGTAAAATATATAGTTTAAAAATATAAAATATAAAAAGGTGACCGTGATGAGAATAAATTCAGCAAGATGCGCCACAACCGCCGGCGGGAACAGGTCTATAACAAGCAGAAAAATTGTGAAAATGTGGCTAATTAGCAGGTGTATGTGAGAATGGCTGATCTATGACGTGGTGATGAATGCCAGCTTTCCAGTGCCTTCTTTGATAGCAGATGATACGAGCATATATTTATAGATAAATAAGGAATAATTTGCGCTCCTCCCTTTCGTGGTGTGATCGTAAACCAGTTTCCAATATCATTGTTGTAAGTTGGTAAGTGAATGCCCTGGTATGCTGACGAGCTTCGAAAGGGGCAGGTTAGGATAAGTGGTCACGTGTTCTTTGTGGTTATTGAAATGTAATCTAAATGGCGTTTCAGTGTGACCTATATATTGAAATTTGCAAGCTGAGCGTTCCAGCAGATAAACGCAGTTGCTGGTATCCTTGTCGATGCTACCTGTAATTTTGATTGTAAAATTGGACGCCGAACTTTTAACTGATGTTGCGGTATTCATGTGACTGCTGATCTTGAACCGAGGCTTAAGGCAGGGACGGCAACGAGAATAAATGGGAGTACCGAATGAAGTCGGTTGTTTTAGATGACGTCAGTATGTTGCGCAGGTTCCTTGATCGTCGGTATACTACGCGTGGTGATTCACAAAAAAATACTTTTCGGGCGACCACTCTGCATGAGGATGTTGTGGTGTGTTTTTTCAAGATGTAATTCACGTTCTGTATTATTTAAGAATGCGTCAAGAGTAGATAAGTAGATGGTCACTGTTAAGTGCGCTCCTTCGAGTTAAGAAGCTCGCGTCTGTCCACTGCTGTGGCACGATTAATAGCGTCGTCGATTATTCGAGGCGTGTACTTTGGACCTGTAAGTGCATCTCGCAGCTTCTCACAGTTATCGCGAAAGTCCGATTGCGCGGAGCACAACCTTTGTTCATGAAGCCATTACCATATCTCATTAGTGCCTATGTTTATTGATAGTAACATAATATATGCTATATCTATGACGAATATAGTTAAGCACGTGTTGGGGGCCCCTGCCATACTCATGTATTTAGGAAGTGCCATTTTGCGTCTGCCCTGTACTCTCTGACGAAGGCAGGCCCTCCTGCCGAAACGTTGGAAGTAATAAACATCATTTTGGCATGTTCGTTCATCGTTTCTTAACACATACAAAGCCCTGGATCCGCAGAAGAATATATATATATATATATATATATATATATATATATATATATATATATATATATATATATATATATATATATATATATATATATAATGTGTCCGTTCACAAGTATTTGGTAAAGGAGGCTTTGCCGCTAGAACGATATATGTGCAGAGAACCATGCTTTCAAGGGCTTGGCGAAGCAATCTTACTGCAAAAGCGACGCGGCAGTTGCTTTCACAGTTCTAAAGGATAGATGAACTCTGCCTGAAAACCTCACGAGGAAAACAATGTTTTTTCAGGCAAAAGCCACTACACAAAATCAACGGCCTTTTGAGATCCGATATCGGTATTACCTACAACGTTGCTCCATTAAAGAGAGATAAACTGAGAAATAAAATGAGAACCTTGCATGAAAGTTGAGCTATGGAACTACTTCAAATAGGCAGTAATTTTTTTTGTTGATTTCCACAAATAAAGAGCAGATATGTCTCCACATGCGGAAATTCGTGCTTTGCGATAACAACTAATGCTCACTCAAGCGACGTTCGTGGTGTTGCTGTTCGCATAATCGTTGCCATGTGATACGTACTGACAGCGCATGTGCAGTAAGCCCACGAATCTTTACAAGGTCTTCGGATACGAAATGTTCAGTTGGCTCCAACGGCCTTGAATTAAAGGGTGCTTATAGTAAATAAGCAAGATGCTTGGGCGTGTTGGTATGACATAGCAGGAGCAGAACAGTGAAAACCCCGGAGCACAAGTTGTTGCCCTTTTCTTGTGTTTCGTCTTGTTTTGCGCTGTTTTCTTTCCGCTAAGGCAAGCTGAGCTCGATTAGTGTTTCACCTTTCGCTTGCCAAGATCATCTTATACACGTGTAATATAAGCTCACTAGCGTTTCAGCTGTGCCTAGGTCTGTGTGTAGCGAACGGTTGACGTAGAGTTATGAGCAATGAAAAGTCTCGTGGTGGCTATAGCCACCAAAGCAACGTTACTTGGGAGTTTCGGGAACCTATACATAATAATGACATGCACACCCTGGCAAGGCGCTGGAAACAGTGCTAGGTACCTGCAGTACAACAGGAGAACGGTGATCTATAGTGAACACATGGTCCTTACATTCCCACGACACCCACTAATAATCATCTCAAATGAGGGCGCGTCAAATACATGTCTCATTTTTCAAGTCTGGAGGATCACGCTAAACCTTCCGCAGACTATCCCTCCTCCGAAACACCCCCCCCCCCACACACACACACACACGCACACGCACACGCACACACGCACACACACACACACGCACACGCACACGCACACACACACACACACACACACGCACACACACACACACACACACAACATATGAGGGCGCCCTGAATTAACTGGCACAGCTATGAATAAATATTGATGTATCTGTTGTTTTTATACAAATCGCAATCATTTCGGCGGGGCGAGCATCAAACTAAGGTTTCAAAGAGCAAGCACATCCCAACAGCAGTTTGTTTAAGACATTCTTAAAACTCGGTGCAGCACTTATGGCACTTGCCGTGTCGTCATCGACCTATGACTTATTGCCAATAAGCGCAGGCCTGCCCCATTAACGACTTGAATGTTACGTAATCTAGATTAAGAGAGCGTTGCTCATGGGAGAGCCTAAATAGCCTCCACGGTCACTCGGTTTAAGGTGGCGAACGAAAGGATCATGTGTATTTTTGCGTCACCGTGGCTTCAAGCATAATAATGGAGCCATAGAAAAAGATGAAGAAAAAAATACAAGATTGTTCTTTTCGTAACGTATGATTACACGAAATTGATTTCTCCTCATAACCAAGAGTTTTCTTAGAAATTTTTATTGAAGTCCAGCGGTAAAGTTTATGGTGGTGACATTCAGAGTCTTTGAATTAAAGGTTTTGCTAGTGAGGAAGAAAATTAACTGCTGGCATGTTAGGGCTTTAATGATTAGCTTGCAAATGCAGAAATGGTATAAAGGGGACAATGAAGGCACAATTCGATGTCATGGTTGATATTTTTTTGCAATTTAAGCACTTAATAAAAATCCTATTTCCTCGGTTGAATCTGCGCGGGCTAGCACATTGCTGTTGAATGTAAGTCAGCGCAAATAGATATCATCGAGCCCTTAATGCGTAGTTTATATTTTAGGATTTATCTGGCGGAAGAGCATCTCAGAGAGTAAAAGAGAGAGGGAGATACCAGCTACACAGAACGATCGTAGTCCGCAAATGGCCTGCCATGCTGAATGCCTCCCCTGTTTCCTTATACATTGTGTGTCTGCGCATACATACAGCTGTTGGGTGCTGGCTACGTCAAGCGCCTAATAACCTTATGGGTTGAAGCTACGATCTCAAGCTCTAAGTGAAGCTACAAGCTACTTTCACACAGAGATACCGGCCGTAACCAGGACCGTTCGTAGCTTCAGGCGTATCTTGAAGGTACGAATTTTAATGCTTATGGCTTGTGGCTTTCTTTTCTCACTTTATTTGTTTTAAGGGCGAAACTCCGTAGGCCGTAATATAGGTCGTGCGTCCGCGATGTATGTAGTAGTAGTCATCATCGTAGTAGTAGGTAGCCACTTCTCGTTTAGTCTTTGGAATGTCCGCTGGATGGTGGTACTTCTATATAATGAATATATGACAAAAAGATGCGAGATGGCGGTGCTTGGAGTGCTCTCTACATGTATGGACGGACCGACGCACAAACGAATGCACGGACGGACGGACACACGGACGCATGAACGGACAGATGGATGGACGCATGGGCGAACAAGGGGCGGGCGCACGAATGGATGAATGGATGGATGCATGGATGAACGGATACACGGATGGACGCATAAACGCACAATGGACACACGAAAGGATGCGTGGACGGACGCATGAACGCACGCATGAACGCACGCATGAACGAACGCATGGACGGATGGAAGCGCGGACGGACTGATGGACGCTTCACCATGCTGTCATCATCCTTCAGTCCATGGATGCGCTGTGATTTTTTTTTTTTTCAGAACAGCTTGGCACCGGCAGCGGGCACCCTGAGGTACGAAAGCCAGCGGCCGCCAACCTTGGGGACTGGAACAATCACGAATAAAGCACGCCACACAACACTGTGTCATCGTGAACGTTCATCACGTTGTACAAGGCACCAGCCGTACGAGCGGAGGGACTAGGCGTCGACCACACCTCGGGTTACGGCTTTTACGACAGCGCTAATTGAGGCGGTCGACGCTGCGAAGGTTTCTCGCTGAATCAATGGGCGGTGTAGAACTTCGTCTTGGCCGGTCTTCGTTAGACTTCTGCGGCTGACATGAATAGCCGTTTCAAACACGTGCCGGGGTGACCCTAGGTCCTACCCACACGCACATGAGTATAATGATGCTCTCTCACGAGGATGTATTACCGCCTCGTGGTGGTAAGCGTGTTGGCGATAGTTTTGTAATAACTCTTGTAATAAACAAGTTGTGAGTGCGTCGTAACAGCCTGAAGGTTAACTTCCAGCTTGTATCAGGAGAGCGTCGGCTTTCCATTTACGAAGAGGTGGAGATTTGAGGACTGGCCTGTCGTAATGAGGTAAACTTTTTGCAGAGTTCGCTGCGCGCTGATGATTGAATTTCTGGAACTCGATCTTCATGAAACCATCGCTGAGCAATTCTTGAGTCTTCAAAGTGTTGATGCAGCTACGCATGAAGCTTCCTAATTCTACCAAAATTCTTGTCAGCCCTAGGTCTATTTATTCGTAATAATATTCTGTAATATTCGTACGTTGCATCTGATGCAATGTGATCGGCTTTCACACGCTGACCACAACTTCCACCTCACCTTCCTCTAGTAAACACCCTTTTTTCTTTCCTCGTATCTTTATCTTCCTTTACTCCTTTCCGATCGTAATGTGATTGATTTGATTATTGATATGTGGGGTTCAATGTCCCAAAACCACCATATGATTATGAGAGACGCCGTAGTGGAGGACTCCGGAAATCGTGACCTCTTCGGGTTCTTTAACATGCACCCGAATCTGAGTGGCATGGGCCTACAGCATTTCGCCTCCATTTAAAGTGCAGCCGCCGCAGCCGGGATTCGATCCCGTGACCACCATGGTGGGGCATTTGTAATTTTCATCTCAGGCAAGCAGAAGCGGTTTTTTTGGGGGGGGATCATTACTAACCCGCTTCTTTTTCTTCGTGGGAGGTTTTTACACAACTACTACTACTACTACTACTACTACTACTACTACTACTACTACTACTACTACTACTACTACTACTTCTATACTACTACTACTACTATTACTACTACTACTACTACTACTACTAAAATAACTGCTGCTACAGCTGCTGCTGCTACTCCTGCTACTACCACTACTACTCTAGATAGATATGTGGGGCTTAGCGCCCCGAAACCACCATATGAATAGAAGCATCCTTGCCACTGAAATAACAGAAAAAAAAACGCTCATCATCCTAGAAAAGGTAACATATCTCGAATTTACGGCAGAAACCTCAACACAAAATGGTGAATTGAAGACTCGCTCTATTTTTCTTTTTACGCGAAGTGGAGTTATAGTACCAATAATAGATTCACCGTGTACGGATTCAAACGCCGAGGGAAGAAGGAGCGCCTAACAAGCATGCTCATTACAGAGACTCTGTTTCTTCAATTGCTAAAAAACTCTTTCGGATCTTGCTTTTTTTTTTGTGGAGTCTGATATATTCATTTCTGTGCAATGCTGTCTACGAGCTAGCATGTGAAGTGGACAACTTCAAGAAATCGTAGTGACACTTTCGTACCTCTATAAGCCGACCTAATTACAGACAGACAGACAGACAGACAGACAGACAGACAGACAGACAGACAGACAGACAGACAGACAGACAGACAGACAGACAGACAGACAGACAGACAGACAGACAGACAGACAGACAGACAGACAGAGGGACAGACGGAGGGACAGAGGGACAGAAGAGGGACCAGACAGACAGACAGACAGACAGACAGACAGACAGACAGACAGACAGACAGATAGATAGATAGATAGATAGATAGATAGATAGATAGATAGATAGATAGATAGATAGATAGATAGATAGATAGATAGATAGATAGATAGATAGATAGATAGATAGATAGATAGATAGATAGATCATCCCATTACACGTGGTAAGCGCTTCCTTGCGCAACCATGCTAATTGGCTAGAAACCATCGAGATAGTCGTAGAACCTTCCGGTTCGATTACGCGCACAGCGGAACATTGCAGATTCTTCTAGAACTTATGTAGTAACTATGGCGATAACACTGGAATATTCAACGGCAAATGTATAAATGCCGACGCGCGTCACGGCTTGTTAGTTGATCGATGGCCGACGCTCTGCTCGCCGCGCTATCGGTACCAGTGTACATCGCTGTAAGCTGACTTTCCGTTGACTGGCCTCAAGTTCAGCCAAATAAACAGTTTCATTTTGGACATTGTCGTCTCTGCCTGTATCAAGTCACGGCCCCATGACAAAACATTACGTCCGTCATGACGCCGTATTTACAATGCTTCTGTGAAAAAATAGTTGTAATTGAAGATAACTTTTGTATGGCTATCAGTTGTAAGGATTGTGGCGTCATGCAATGCTTGGGATCTCATCGTTTCGAGCACTGATGAAACAATCAAAATGTAATAAGTTGTAATGTGTTCAAAACTAGGAGGAGCATTTGGTTCTTGTCCCTAGAATTAAATGCGTTTTGCTTATTCCGCTCTGCTTTAGGTATTGTTTGATAAGGTCTTCATTTCCTTTTAAGTTCTTACAAATGTGAAACCAGTGCATAGTAGTTTTATGAACACTATTAAAGAATAATCCTTTCGAGTGAACACCAGTGAGTGCGTGTTGCGAACAAGTAAAGCTCCAACTTGAAGCGCCCGAACTTGATCAGCAGAGATCTGGAGAACTCATTCTCTGGCAAAACAGGCTACCGATGCCCACTTCACCAGCGTAAGTCCTTGACGTCAAGAATTGGCTATCCCTTCCAGGTCGCTCGCTTCAACTACTGTGCGAAAGACCCGTCGGTAGCCCAGCTCCATTGTGTTTAACCCGACAAGTTCATTCACTTCGCGGCAGACATCATATATATGAGTTTCGAAGCCAGCAGACTTTCCTTTATTATGCAGTGCCCCGCGAGATAGCTCGATCAGGTTGCCAAGCTTCTTGTATCTATAGCTTTTCAACTATATTAATAAAATGCCCATATTGATGCCAGAGGTGAACGACCACTGCGTTTTCGCACGCTCATTGATTCATTTTTTTTCTCCGCGTCTCAACGACGGGGCAACGCATAGCGGTCCTCCATACCTTATCGTGTGAATGACAGCAAAGAAGAATCTCGCTGACTCATCGTTTATTTTAGATACTGCAACTGAAAAATATGTTGAGGACAACACAAGCAAGCAGTCTCCCTGAACTTTGAGAGAAAAAGTCGACACGTGGGAAAGCCAGATTATCCCCGAAAGTTTGCTTGATTTGTGTAGAAAGCACAGTGGTGATGACGGCGCGCATGACTTATGACCCGGCCCAGCAGCAATCTTTGTCTCATCCTACAAAATGTATCTGCGAACAACTCAAATATGAGAGGAACTCCGACTGGACAGTGAGAGTTATGATAGGATCAGCGAACTCGAGTGGCCAAATGAGAAGAAAAGTGCACATGAACGGTGAAAAAAAATAAAGTCCTACTCCCGGACGGACCATCGAATATTTCCTTCCTTATTTTGTGTAGGTTGAGCACAGCGAGCCTCTTGTTTTATTTTATGTATGTGTTTATAATCTTACTTCAAGCTTTGATATCTGTCGTGTGTGCCAACTATCATTCTGCAATCACTCAAGTCTTCAAGAAGGTAGCTTCAACCAATTTATAAGGAATGTCTTTCCTTCCTTCCTTCCTTCCTTCCTTCCTTCCTTCCTTCCTCCTTTCTTCCTTCCTTCCTCCCTTCCTTCCTTCCTTCTTTTTCCTCCTTACTTCTTTCCCTCCTTCCTC